CGACCGCCAACTCGACCTACAAATTATTGAATAGCTATAACTGTAGACATTATTTTGGTGACCGTTGTCGACTGTCCCTCTCATCATCGGGTATTGTCGCCAAATATAAGGTAATAATTTAATATGTGATTTATATATATATATTAATTTTTTTTGATGAATAACTTTTACTTATTATTTTACAAAAAGTTAATGGCATTTATTGAACGATTGGGTCAGCACCGGGTGGGCATAACCTGTTGGCATTTATTTGTTATTAATAAGTTTAGATGCTATGAGGTATTTATAGTACTAATAAAATTATTGTTTTTTATTATTATTATTGAAACTAGAATTTATCTTATTATTAAAATTTATTATTATTATTAAATAATTAATTTCTAATATAATTTTATTAAAATATTATTTAGATAATTGGATTTCTATCAATATTATTTCTAAAATTTGTACAAATGGCATTTAATTAATCTTAAATAATTATATTATATTACAATTTTATTATATACAGTTATTTAATAATAAAATATAACAAATACATTTTCTATTTTTAATAAATTAAATTTTAATTGTTTAAACACTGTTAATCTTATTAGTTAATAAAATTATTTATTAATTGAAAATGGTCATATAAATTATTTAAATAAATTAATTAATAATAAAAACATAAAGTAAATTTTAAGCTATTTTATAATAGTAATTTTAATTTAATTAACTTTTATTATTATTATTCAAAGTTTTACAATTATGTATGTTTTATTTTATTAAAAAATAAATAATTTAAAATGCTTTTACTATTTTAAATAAATCAAATTTATTAGTTATAATTTTAATATTGAGATTTATTTATAATAATTTTAATTAAAAATAATCTAGATCTTATAAATATAAATAATATTATCTAGATTTTATATATGAAAATATTAGCAAAAATGTAATTACAGTTTATTAATTTAATTGTTAATAAACTATTTTTTTCAAAAGATAATGAAACCGATTTTTAGTCTATTTCTAAGTTTAATGGACACAACAGTGAAAACAATGTAAATATGTTTTATAAAGTTATCAATTGGTTGTCAAACTTGAAGACATTGGACATCAGATATGGTTGTAGACCTGTAATCACTTTGACTGATCTATTCATTCAAGAAAATGGTAATTATTTGCCAAAAAATGTCCAACAATTTAATATTAGTTTGAATCAACAATCAATGATATTGTTTGTAAAGTTTGCCAACACATCCAATGGCCAACAAATACAATCATTGGATATTATTATAGATTATAATGTAAAATCTGAAGAAAGTTGTCAATTATTGATCACTGGATTGTCAAAAATGACACAATTAAGACAATTGAAGATCAAATCGTCACAGTTATTCACCAGTAATATGACTATTGATTTGTTGGTACAAATTGGCCACAACTGTTGTCATCTTAAATCACTGGATTTGAAATCAATTAAAGGAAATCGGGACTCAATTATTAAAATATTTGTCACAATCGGTGAACATATTTCAAAACAATTGAGACGATTATCACTAGACTATAAGTATAACGGTTATTGGAATTATAATAAAATTGATTTATCAGTCAAATTGTTAGCCAATTTAAAACGATTGACACATTTAAAGCTTACGATTAACGATTGGGGTATATTTGATACCAAGTTTTTTCTACACATTGACCAACATTTGCCGCGCTTACAGTACATACACTGTAATAAAGCATCGATTAATAAGGAGATCATCCCATGGTTTGCCAAATTGCGATACTTGCGTAACATTTATCTAATATGCGATTGTCTTATGTATAGAGAGACCAAATACTATATACTATATCATCTAACAGATAGGGCACGGGTTCAACATATCTATATTAAATGTGTAAATGATGTAAGCCATTTTATTTACATATGCGGGTGCTATATGCAGCAACATACCTGTCCCTGTATACACTTATACTAAATTATTAATTAATTAAAATTTTGATTTCATATTTGTTTACAAAATAAATATGAATTGATACTCAAGTATTTAAGATATGATTTAATGTTTTTTTTTTAATTATCTCCTATTTAATATGTAGTTGCTTATCTATTTTTAATCGTTTATAATTATTATATTATACTTAAATTTAAAAATTATTTTATTTAAATTAATAAACTGAATGTAATTTATGACAAATATATTAAATAAAGACTATAACCGTAGATACTATCGTAGAAAAAAATATATATTATGAATAAAATAACAAATTAAAATTTATTTCATATATGAAAATGTTAGCAAAAAAATATTATTTAGTAATTTATTACTAATGAACTATTTTGTATGATTGAAATATAAATTTATTCAATAAAAAACGGCTAATATGATTAATACAATAATAATAATAATACTTATCAGGTTAAAATTATCTACAAATATAGTTTATAAGTTAGTAATAAATTTATAGGAAAAAAAATTATATCCCTGATACTAATTTTTTCACCATTTATCTAATAATTATTTAATTAAATGATTCAATTTATTATTATTATTTGGTCTAATAATTACTTATTATTTTTATTATTGTAAATTAGACATTACTATATTATGTTAATGTTTCAAAGTTTTCATTAGTTTAAAGTAAAGTTAACTTAAATTATTTAGTTAATTTCTATGACTATTTTATGAGTGTTTTTGTATGTATATATATGATATATATATGTATTGATATATATATATTTATATATATATGTTTGTGTATTACACAGTGTGTAATAGTTTGTTTTGTTGGAAAAAATAAAATCACATTTAATTTAGTTTTAAAAAAATTTAAAAAGTTATTTGAAGTCTGAAGACAGCTATGAGATGACGACGACATTAATGACAACAACGAAAGACTCTTTTGATCGCTTCGGCGATGATTTGTGTCAACTATTGCTATCAGATCTACCAATTGATGACAAATTCAGACTGGAATCAGTGTCCAAACAATGGCAGTCATTGATACTGACCGGACAAACGAGTCTTTTATTTGATTCAAAACAAGTGAAAAGATTGAAACAAAATCTACAAATAAATAAAACTAACGAAAAGTTGTTTGAATTTATTATCCAAAAGTGTCCAAACATTTCAACAGTTATTATTGAATGTAATAAACAGTTTTTAAACAATTATTTGGATCTATTGATCAAATACTGTCATCGTTTAAGACATTTTTGTTTTAAAGTTAATTATAATTATTTTCCCCTTCAGTTCACTGATTGGAAATCTATTGATTGTTTTATGCAAACATTTGGCCAACAATTGCTAACATTTAAGTGTCACAAACATATCAGCAGATTTAGTAGACAATTGCTATACAGAGTATGCAATTTGTTGCCAAACTTGAAGACATTGGATATTAGCGATAAATTTTATAATCAAATCAATTTGGATGACATATCCACTGTCAACACAAGTCATCTAATGCTACCGAAAACCATACAATCTATTGGTCTACTAATACCTAGAAATGTGTCTAATTTTGAAAAGTTTGCCAACAATTATGGCCAACAATTGCGATCATTAGACTTAAATCTGGTGAAAACGTCATCATCAATCTCTGTATACAACAGCAATTTATCAACAATTAATTGTTTGACACAAATTACACAATTAAGACAATTAAAGATCAAAATAAATAAAACATCAAATCAATTGGCTATTGATTTGTTGGCCCAATTTGGCCGCCAGTGTCGGAAACTTTGGTCATTGGATTTCAAATCAAATTATTCAATACAATCGGATTGTATTGAAATTATTGACACAATCAATGATAAAATGTCACCAAAATTAAGACGATTGTCATTGAATTTCAGGATCAATACATTTACTATTGAATTTCATGGGCAATGGTTTTTGAAATGTTTGAAACAATTGACACATTTGTCAATACGGATACAAAATCGATGGAAAGTTGGCGATCAGTTTTTCGGTTCAATTGACCGACATATGCCTCGACTACAGTATCTATACGTTCACAATGCAGTGATCAGTCTGGCGGCTGTCCAAGCGTTGAACCGATTGGCACACTTGAGGTCAGTCCAGTTGACATACTATGCGGACACCGATTTGTTAACCAAAAAATATATTAAACACCAATTACTTAACAACAGTGTTGCTAAAGCTGTTCAGTTTAAACTTAAAAGTAAAAAATGATTTAATAATTATTATATATAGTTTATATATGACATTTAAATTAAAAACTAATGTAACTATTGAATTAATTCATATTTATATAATTTTGTTTCTACAATAATTATTTGACATATTTATATTATTATTTATTAGAATGTTATTATTATATTTATAGTAAATTTATTGCAAATAATTATGTCAATAATTGATTATTATCAAATTAAATTGTAATAATAATTAATAAAAATGATACTAAAATTAGTAACCTAAATATTAGTTAATGTAATTATTATCGTAAATATAAAATATATTGACTGTAAAAATATAATACTCACAAAACTATTAATTAACAAAAATTTCTTAACTAATGTTAATAACAATTAAAACAAATATTATGATGTAATGAACTAATTGACTGTTAATATATGTATTTTATATTATTATATAAAATTATTATTAAATAAAAGTATAAATTATAGCAATTTATTTTTTTATTTAACTTATATGATATTTATATATAACGTAATGTATGTATGAATGTATGCAATGATTGCATTAAAACAGTGATGTCATCGATATGTCTGTTAATTATATAAACAAAACACAACAACACGTGAAACACAATAACAATAATTGATATAAAAAAGTTAAATTTATTTCAGTTTAATAATTATATTATATAATAATATTATTTACTGTGTGAAACAATATCTAAAATAATACATAAATAAATACGATTAATATATAAATTGTTATTAAATTATATATTAATAATAAATATAAAAAATATTTTGAGTGTTTTTAAGTAATTTTTTAGTGAATTGTTATGAATAAGTAATGAATAGAAAACAATACAAACGATACGGTTTTGTGGTCACAGATTGTGATTACGATAAGTGTAATAAAAGATTTAAAAACAATTACAACAAATTTGGTATTACTGTTAACTCTATTAATAATACAAACAATAATTGTCAAGAATTTAATAAAGTTTTGGACAAATGTTTGAATAATTATAGTAAATATGGATTTACTGTACAATCAGTTAATAATAATAATAATAACAATTCAGACAATTATGAGAAGAGTCAGACATTTATTGACAAAGAAGTGTTAAATCAATCAATTGATCGACAAATAAATGACAAACAAGTAATGTGTGATAAAAGTGTTGCAAATTGTGAGACAAATACTGCGATTACAAGTATTGCATTCAATACACAATCAGTTAATTATTGTCACAATAATAGTAATTATAATAATAGTAACAATAATACAAATAAATGTCTTATAAGTGACGCTCCGTTACATCGACTCATACCATATCCGCAATTAAAATTAAAAGATAAGAAAGTAATTAAAGAAAATAATTTAAATGTTTTAAATGTTAAGTTTAGTAAACAAGAGATAGAAATACTGAGAGGAAATTGGGATCAATATTGTGTTGACTATAATTGCGATGAAATAATGAAAACACGTTTATTGGGTTACTTTGCTTACAGCAAGAGGTATACCAGAAATGATAGGAAAAAGTTTCGGGAATTTATGAGAAGCACACAGTTTTATCTGCGATTAGCCAATGGTTTGCCTAACCGTACACTGAATAGTATATATAGAAATGCAAGGATTAGATTTCATTCATTGAAATATAAGAAAGATTTATCCGATGATATTATTAATAATATGAAACATTATTATCTAATATTTGGTAAAAAATGGACACAAATTGCCGAAAAATTAATGTGTTATCCGGCTACTATTATGGAGCATTATAAAATTAATTACAATAAAAATGGTGAACCATATGATATGGGAAACTGGAGTGTAGATGAAGACAAACAACTATTGGATGCAATGAGACGAGTGCTGAACACCGATGATCTCAAACAACATATTTATACTAAAAACATACCCTTTAATAAAATTATAGATGAAATTGATATTAATAGGAGTTACTATCAAATACGTAATCATTGGTTAGCAAAACTTCGGTGGTCAATAGCCCAATGGAACCGTTTGGAGGACAGTTGGACACAAAAAGACACCGCAAGACTAATATATTGTTTGTTTAAATATGAATTCACAGACGAATTAGCCATAGATTGGGATGTAATAAAGGAAAGGTTTGCAAATATTTCGTCGTTTAATGCATTGATGAGAAATTGGCGTTTAATTAAACAAACGGTTCCCTCATTTGAATTTAAATCTTATAAAGAGATTATTGATTTTCTTTACGACAACTTTTTGCCGCAATTTATCACTAATAATGATAAAGGTATTGACTATTTGAAAGAATTTGAATTGTTTTTCAATGATTAATCAGTTTTAAGTAAATAAAAACATTAAAAATTTGTAATTTACTACTTATTATAACAATAATTGTAGAAAAAACTTTAATATATTGTTAATTGTTTATATTTACCGGTAATAGGATAATAATATTTAATTTCATCATAATATGTCAATCATAAATATTAGTTAATATACAGGTAAATGAAAAAATATAGTAAACGTTAAAAATATTTATTAACCTAAGCCTATATAAATGTCATTTAATTACTGTATAATTTTATATAAAATTATTATTTTGTATTTATGTTTTATATTCAATTATTTTTCCCGATCTAAGTAATAATACTAATAATAATAATAATAATAATAATAGTAAATATTTTTTGGCTTTATATATTTTATAAGTATAAAAATAAAATAAAAATTCTAAAAAAAATAAAATAAAACTACATTATAATTAATAGTTTAAGATACTGTACACTTAGATTAGATTAAAAATATTTAAGAAAATAAAATTTAAATAACAACTCATTTTTGTTGTCTTATTAGTGGATTTGAGCGCTCAATCATTTCAAGTTGTTGTCGAAGATCTTGTGATTGTTGTTGTAGTTGTTGTAGTAGTTGTTGTTGTTGTGGTTTTAAATCATTGTTTGATTGATGTCTCAAATCATCTGAAGCCACAAATATGGTGGTCTGACAAACATTGTCATCGCTGGCGGTAACGTCATCGGCGGCGGCGGCCATAGTCTGCCTTAAAATCCGATTCAATTTATAAACTTTTTTCAGATAATTTATCGCAACAAATCATATCATCGAAAAGCATATCAATAATATCAGTATTAAAATCAATGCGATAATAATAATGAATAAATTTGTTGAAATAATTATACTATACGGATCACTACTATTTATATATATATATAATACAAACATTTTATAATAATACTAATTAATTAATTAAAAACTTGTTTCAATATTTTTATAATAGTTTATTATAATAGTTTAAACTAATTATTATTATGATAATAATATAATTATTCAATATAAAAATATATATATATAAATTTTTGGTCACGTTATTAAGGATTTAGTTTATATTTCTTTTATTAATTATAATCTATAAAATAAAAGTATAAATTATAGCAATTTATTTTTTATTTAACTTCTATGATATTTATATATAACGTAATGTATGTATGGATGTATTCAATGATTACATTAAAACAGTGATGTCATCGATATGTCTGTTAATTATATAAACAAAACACAATGATAAAAAAAAGTTATATTTATTTCAGTTTAATAGTTATATATTATATAACCGTAATAATATTATTTACTGTGTGAAACAATATATAAAATAATATATAAATAAATACAATTAATATATAAATAAATACAATTAATATATAAATAGTTATTAAATTATATATTAATAATAAATATAAAAATATTTTGACTGTTTTGAAGTAATTTTTTTAGTGAATTGTTTAATGAATAAGTAATGAATAGAAAACAATACAAACGATACGGTTTTGTGGTCACAGATTGTGATTACGATAAGTGTAATAAAAGATTTAAAAACAATTACAACAAATTTGGTATTACTGTTAACTCTATTAATAATACAAACAATAATTGTCAAGAATTTAATAAAGTTTTGGACAAATGTTTCAATAATTATAGTAAATATGGATTTACTGTACAATCGGTTAATAATAATAACAATAATTCAGACAATTATGAGAAGAGTCAGCCATTTATTGACAAAGAAGTGTTAAATCAATCAATTGATCGACAAATAAATGACAAAAAAGTAATAAGTGATAAAAGTATTGCAAACTGTGTGACAAACAATGCGATTACAAGCATTGCATTCAATACACAATCAGTAAATTTATGTCACAATAATAGTAATTATAATAATAGTAACAACAATACAAATAAGTGTCTTATAAGTGATGCTCCGTTACATCGACTCATACCATATCCGCAATTAAAATTAAAAGATAAGAAAGTAATTAAAGAAAATAATTTAAATGTTTTAAATGTTAAGTTTAGTAAACAAGAGATAGAAATACTGAAAGGAAATTGGGATCAGTTTTGTGAAGACTATAACTGCGATGAAGACATGAAAACACGTTTATTGGGATATTTTGCTCAAAGCCAGAGATATACCAGAAATGATAGGAAAAAGTTTCGTGAATTTATGAGAAGCTCACAGTTTTATCTGCGATTAGCCAATGGTTTGCCTAATCGTACACTGAATAGTATATATAGAAATGCAAGGATTAGATTTCATTCATTGAAATATAAGAAAGATTTATCCGATGATATTATTAATAATATGAAACATTATTATCTAATATTTGGTAAAAAATGGACAAAAATTGCCGAAAATTTTATGTGTTATCCGGATACTTTAAAGGAGCATTATAGATTGAATTACAATAAAAATGGTGAACCATATGATATGGGAAACTGGAGTTTAGATGAAGACAAACAACTATTGGATGCAATGAGACGAGTACTGAACACCGATGATCTCAAACAACATATTTATACCAAACAATTACCGTTTAATCAAATTATAGATGAAATTGATATTAATAGGAGTTACTATCAAATACGTAACCATTGGTTAGGAAAACTTCGGTGGTCAATAGCCCAATGGGATCAATTAGAGGACAGTTGGACACAAAAAGACACCGCACGACTCATATATTGTTTGTTTAAATATGAATTCACAGACGAGTCAACCATCGATTGGGACGAAATTAAGGAAAAGTTTGTAAACATTTCATCGTTTAATTCATTGATGAAAAACTGGCGTTTAATTAAACAAACGGTTCCCTCATTTGAATGTAAATCTTATAAAGAGATTATTGATTTTCTTTACGACAACTTTTTGCCGCAATTTATAAGAAATAGTGATAAAGGTATTGACTATTTGAAAGAGTTTGAAATCTTTTTCAATGAGTAAATCAATTTTATTTTTTGTATTAATTTATTATAAATTAAAAATATATAAAATTATTATTTTGTATTTATGTTTTATATTCAATTATTTATCCCTATCTAAGAAGTAGTAATAATAATAATCAATAGTTTTTGGCTTTATAAGTATAAAAATAAAATAAAAATACTAAAAAAAAATAAAATAAAACTACATTATAATTAATAATTTAAGATACTGTACACTTAGATTAGATTAAAAATATTTACGAAAATAAAAAAATTAAAAAAAACAACTCATTTTTGTTGTCTTATTAGTGGATTTGAGCGCTCAATCATTTCAAGTTGTTGTCGAAGATCTTGTGATTGTTGTTGTAGTTGTTGTTGTGGTTTTAGATCATTGTTTGATTGATGTCTCAAATCATCTGAAGCCACAAATACAGTGGTCTGACAAACATTGTCATCGCTGGCGGTAACGTCATCGGCGGCGGCGGCCATAGTCTGCCTTAAAATCCGATTCAATTTATGAACTTTTTTCAGATAATTTATCGCAACAAATGAAAAGCATATCAATAATATCAGTATTAGAATCAATGCGATAATAATTATGAATAAATTTGTTGAAATAATTAGATTAAACGGATCACTACTATCTATATATTCATAATCTATAAATTGAAAATAAATATAAATTATTAAAACATGTTATTATTAATTATTTTATTTTATTTAATAAAAAGTTAAATGATATATAGTTCTAATACTGTATAAACATTTTATAATAATACTAATTAATTAATTAAAAACTTGTTTTTAATATATTTTTATAATAGTTTATTAAAATTATTATAACAATTTTTTTACTGAAAATTATATAAACTAACTATAATATTTAATAGTTATAATAATAATAATAATATAATTATTCAAAATAAACTTACCATTAATAGTAAAGTTTGTGAGATTCATAGTAATGATACTTTTAAATAGGTTTGTTAACTGTATATATTATTCACTATTTTTTTAAAATATAAAAAAATGATTAAATGGTTAAAGTATTAAAGTATTAACATTTATAAAATAGATTTACAAAATATATTATTACAGTAAACATATTATTGTTTAAAAAGTTATATGTTTTATAAATTAAATATTTACTTATATTTTCTATGATCTATGAATGTATTGAATATACAATATATGAAATTTTTATTAAATATCATAAACAGGGAAATAGTTTAATGATATATCATTTATTTTTTACATCATGTAAAACATTAAGATCAACAACAAAAATAATAATAACAATAATAATTACTTCACATGATATCAAATTTATTTAATGTTAATTAATTTTTACATTTAGCAAAAAAATTGTATTATAATATACTGTATTAATATAATGTATATAAAATAACAACAAATTGATAACTACTTCTATATTATAACGTAATTTGAGATGACATTTAAAAATTAAAACATCAAATCTCAACACTTTTACAACAAATGTTAATAATAACTTATTATACAATATATATACTGTATTGTATTATATATCTATATATTAAATATTATTAATCACAATTATTACAACAAATTAGAAAATAAATGTTTTTTCAAGTATTTAAATATAAATTGTATATTTTTATAAACATAATATTTGTCATAAATTAAATGCAAATATCTTAATAGTCAATTTAGTTATATGATAGATAAACTATTAAAAAAATATTTAAATAAATAAATTAAAAAAATATTTCAAACTAGTAATTTATAGTAAAGTGTTATTAACATATTATAAGCAAATTGATAGATCAAAAAATAGATGCCAACAATTGACACCAATTTATTCATGTGATTGTAAGTGTAATACAGTTTGCAACTAATATTAAAGATAAACAATAAATTACAAACATAGTAATTAAAATATTTTGAAAAATATATAATTTATTACTTATACTAACATTGTTATCAAATTATGAAAATACTGTATTATATTTATAAATTATAAAATATATTATAATAGATTACATTAGATCAATATTTAGCATTTACAAAATGATTTATTAATCTAAAAAATACATCAATTATTTATATTATATATACAGTATAAAATACTGTAAATCATTTATTTTAATTAATTTTTTATTTAAAAATAATAAGTGCTTATAATATATTATTTAGTAATTTTTCTGTTAAATATTATAATAAATACTGTTATAATATGTATTATTTATCACAAATTATTTATATTGCTGTTTAACAAAAAAAAATACTATAAAAATAAATATTTAAAACAAAATTATTAATAATGTTTAAATAATGTTTATTAAATTACAATTATAAATGTTAACAACAATTTTTATATAAACAATGCAAATAGCTTGATAGTCATTCTAGTTAAATGATAGATAAACTAGATAAATAAATAAATAAAAAAATAAATTATAAACATAATGAAATATTAAGTTATTTAATAGTTAATAATTAAACTTATATTATACCATATTATAAGTAAATTGATTAATTAAAAACATATGCCAACAATTAAAACCAATTTTTCCATTTGATGCCAATTGTATCAATGTTTGCAACTAGAAGTTCAAAATATATATATAAATATATATTAAAATTTTTTAATATATAAAAAAATAATAAATTTGATTTATAATTTACTTTTATCATAGTTGTTAAATGAAATTTATTATTATTATGTTTATTATAGTATTTATTGTTAGCTTTTGAAACATATAATTTATGCAAATATTTATGAGTTTTACTAAATTCTTTATTAACACTACTGGCAAACAATATAATAATAGTGATCATAATAAATAAAAATATCACAAATATTAGAAAAAATATTGTTAAATATTTGTTTAATTTAACTAATACTAGTGATACAAATAAATTTGAAATCATTAAACTAAATGATATCCAATAGACAAATATAATAAACGACCATGTTTGATTTAATTGTTTTAGTTGTAAGTTTAATTTGTTAATTTTATAAAATAAATGTTTAAATTTTAACTTATGTTGATTTTTAGTACCAACAATAAGATTTATAATAATTATATTGATAATTTTGATTTTCAATTTAATTGCTAAACATTGTACACTAATAAATCCAATGTGTGCTAAATAAATTTGGCTAATTGGTGAATAGATAATTATATAAAATATGGTCCAAACTAGTCCATAGGTTAGCAATTGTATCCAGGTAAAATACAATGACCAAGTGGCTAGACTAGGTATACAAGCTAATAAAATAAACATGTATTTTGATATTGATTTTATTAAATTAAAATATTTGTTAATTTTCCAATTATTTTCAACATCACTACTGTTGTTAATATTGATTAATAATAAACTATTTGTAGAAACATTTTTATCGTTATCTAAATGTTTTAGTAGTAATATTGATGACAGTACTGTTAATTGTATAAATTTAAATTGTAATCTAATTGGCCAATAGAAGGTTAAATCACCAAGTAACATTGCCATAAATTTATCATCATCATTCAAATTAAACGACATTATTATTTTAACAAGTTCAAATAATATTAATAGATTATACAATTTATTATAGAATTTTAATTTAATTTGACATTGATAACTTGGATGATATTTGGGAAATCCAAATTGATAGCATATTTCACCTAGTAGATATAATATATATCGTAATTGTAATAATTTAGTAAATAATTTTTTATTATTAATATAATCATAATTAGTCTTATTATTAAATTTATACATATTAAACATATATCTAAATAAATATTTAAATATTAATACAATAATGCATTCAAAATAAATAAATTTTATTTATTTAGTAATAATACATAACAATTATATTTTTTTTAACTATAAATTTAATAATAATAATAATAATATACAAATATATATTTTTGAAAATATATTATTTACAATAATTTCATTATTAATAATATACAGTATTATTTTAGAAAATCTATAATTATTAAGTAATACTGTATATTATAAAAACAATTATTATTATACTTAAACAACATAATTAACATTTTCTTAACATTTACATTACTTATTTATTTTATACTTAAACAATATATTTCTTTATTATTATATAAAATTTAAAAAACTGTAATTATATGTTAATTAAAGAAATAATTAATATTTACTATAAATTTAATATCTAATATGAATTTTAATGTTTTTATGATAATATAATATATTTAGACTAATAATAATAAAATGTTAATTGATATTACATTTATTGATTATAATTAATACTCAAATTATTAAAAGTACAGAAAATATTGTATTAATAAATTTTGTTTACAAAAATAATGCAAATAATTTGATTGTCATTTTAGTTATATGATAGATAAACTATTGAATAAAATAATAAAATAAAATATTAATATATATGATATTAAAGAAAAAAAAGTAGATTAGATTTTATACTTAACCATATTATAAGTAAATTGTGTGATCAAAAATAAATGCCAACATTTGAAACCAATTTTGCTATTTGTTGACAATTGTATCAATGTTTCCAACTATAGATAATATGTATATAAAGTACTTTATTAAATTATATATTTATAATAATTTTAGTAAAAAAATACAATTTATAAACATAACAAAATCTATTATATACTTTCAATAATGTCATCATTGATATTAGATTCATGTAATTATTTTTACTATTAAGTTTATTTCGATATATAGTTAAATATAATTTATGCAAATATTTATGTGTTTTCATGTATTCCGTGTTAACACTACTGGCAAACAATATGATGGCAGTCATCGGTATAAATAAAAACAATATGAATAATGTGAAAAATATTGTTAACATTTTGTTTAAATTGACAAACACTAGTGGGACAAACAAATTTGAAATTAAAATACTATACGATATCCAATAGATAAATATAATAAATGACCATGATTGATTTAATTGAGCAATTAGACGATTTAAGTTATCTAGTTTCTTTTGTAAATTTTTTATTTCTACTAGCACATCTTTCATATCATTTTTAT